TGAATATAACCTTTATATAGTCTTTAGTCTTTAAAAAAATTATCTTGAAATATTCACCAGATTATCCGATTCCGTAAACTTAGTTGCTGATTTCTGAGTCCAAAAAAAATTTAATAAATCGAAATTTTATTTTACTTACCTTCATATCTGGCTATAGATTTTGTTGTCACTGTTGGTAATATTTTGAAACCATCTTAGATATCGTTTTGAATAAACTTCAGGAAACTCAACCTAATAGTAATCTCCCATAATCAAAATTGTGACCTAACACAAATTCATGAATTCTTTATTTGTCACAAACATCTAAATGAGTATAAATCTTTATAAATAGCACAGCTTTTTCATAAAACACTAATTTTATCAAGTTTTACCTTTCTAAAGAAATTTGAGAATACAATAAAATAGTAAAAGCTTAAAATTTTCGCATTTTAATTTTTTATACTGTAATTTTATATTTTTAAAGATTATATTCAATCGTACAGTTTGGTATAATAAAGAGATATCATATTTTTTACTGTAGTCTGGTAAATTAGTATCAATCAGCTAACATACAAATTCTAACCTTCCTTTATTAAGCAGTCTTTACCTTTTACTTGCATGTGCATCTACATATCCCATATTCATCATGTAAACTACTTGATCACACTTAAGCAAAACTGAATAAATGCGTGAAGTAGGAATCTTAAAGCTTCTATGCGAATTTTCGCCACTTTATTTTTAGTGCCCTAGGACAAAATCCGTTTCACTGTGATTGTAACCTACGCTGGATGCAGGCCTTCTTTCATCAACGGTTTCTGGACAACGGCATTGCTCTATGCAGTAGTCCTATCGGGATGCGATTCAAGTCTATCTATCTGTCTCAACCCGGCGATTTTGTTTGCCCATGGGCCGATTGGAATGACACAGAAGGCTTTCCTGGAATTAGTCAGCGATTTCAAGAAGCTTCCGAGGTTGAGATGCACAAAAGCTCAGAAAGACTACGTCGAAGATATGGCGAAAAGGATCCGCTTCTAGCGCCTGCATCAGAAGCCGATACAGCAGGGGCTGGAGCAGCCCGTAGGGCTTACCTTGAGTCACTTGGAGCATTAGAAAAGTGCAATGCCTGCTTGGGTGAACCTTGCCAGCACGGCGGAATTTGCAATAATTTCGGGCTGGTGAACTTCACCTGCGCCTGCGCGGCAGGTTGGCATGGCCGTCGGTGCGAGCGCCGCATGAGTGCCTGTTTTGGACAACCTTGTGAGAACGGTGGAATATGTAAAGTCGTCGACCAATTCGGCAACTTTGAGTAAGTCTTTAATTCTTAGGTAATTTAGATTAGTAGACCGTGAGTTGGAGGTTGTCCGTTCCATTAAAAATTATATTTTATGGGGGCCTGGGTAGACAACAGGGGGGCCCACTTTAGTTGGCGATTTCATCTAACGATATGTAATAACTATTTTATAGTCTTTATTAATAAACAGCTAGCC